TCGATCCCTCTAGGCTGATGCTGATGTATGGGCTATTCAGCAGCCATTTGGCTCCCAAGAAAATGGTTAGCTTCGCTTTGGCTTCCCTTTAACTCGCTTCCGCAGTTGGATTCGCCAAAAAAAGGTCCAAACCTCTTGTTTCCAACTAAAATGGTCGTCCCACAAAAATCAATGAACTCAGCTGGTTGCCGTTGATCCCTCTGCACAAAGTTTGACTTTTGGGTCCAATGGAAAATCCTCTGTTTCCCAAAAGCTTAAAGTTCAAAGATCCAACCAACTAGCCATAAAGCAACATGGAAGATATCCAAAACAAAGCACAAGGGATACAATTATAAAGGTTGTCCGCAGGCTTGGGTTGAAAGCCTGGAACTTGAGTCGCCCTTGGTTGCTGCAACAACCCCTCAACAGTTTAACCCTTGTGGGTCCAATTCGGAAAATCCGTTTCAACCAACATGGCCAAGTCCCCAAGATCCAACCGGCCACAAACATGCAACAACGCTGAACCATGCCAGCAGACCAAAAAAACCTCAAGCGACGTCAAAAGACTTCGTCGTGCCTTGGCATCCCGCAGGCTGCGGGCGCTGTTTGCCAGGCTCCTGAGCTGTTCGATCCGAACTCCGAGAGCTCCGAGAACTCCCAGCGCCAGCGAACACGTCGAGAGGGGGGGAGGGTCAGCCAAAAGGCGAGGCTCCTCGACTCCTCCACAAATGTTTGGCTTCTTTCAATTTGGTGCGGAACTTCCTGTGAGTTCAATTGCTGTTGGGATCATAACTTTCCGGTCGACCTCTATTCAGCCCCCACTTGTTGCTGCCTTTTTCGGGCCAGACCCCAGTCTCTGTTGCCCGGAAAACTGGTTTACGTTGGAAAAAGGGGAAATCGCGGCCCTGCTTATTTACTTCATGTTGCCCGGCTGAAGAAATGGTTTGCAGGTTCATATATATCTTATTGTTTCAAAGTTATGTGGCTCTAAACATCACCTTTGCCATTCTGGTGGGGTGGTGTTCAAGCCAGAAAGCCCTACTTTAGGCCTCTCTAAGATGTGCAGGCGCGTTCTCATCATCCCCAACAACAAAAGCAGGAAAACAGATCTGTGTCCGTTCGCCCAACCCTAGTGCTTGGAAAATTCGGACACTCTGCCACTCTGTTGCTCTCCTCCCTCAGAACGCACAACTCACGGAGAGTTGTGTTGTGATTCTCTGGGCCCGTATCGGCTTTCGAAAGTGTCAAGGCGCGCCTCACACAGCTTTTTCTCTGGAGCCTCGTCCGCATGGAAGGTCAAACTAGGAAGGTCAAGCCAGGTGCCCAAATTTCATGGCCCGCTATCCTAAACAGGGATCCTTACATTATACACCTGATCATTGCCTTGTAAATGGTGGTTTCCCTTTATTCTGGTGTCTTTAAGGATCCCTGCTAAATGCCTGGCTTGCACTTCGAACCCAAAGGCCATGGCCGACTATGACCCCCAAGTTTGATCCGGCGCCGGGCGCGTGAAGTGGTGCGCATCGAATTCCGCGCGACCAAACAAGCCGCGCCATTTCGTCGTGCAAGAAAAAAACACTGGGCCAAGAGTTCGGGGTCAAAGGGCAGGACAACCATGGTCAGTGCTCAACGGATCCCGACACTCTCCTTGAACTACTTAAGAGGGGAATTTTCTGGAAACAAAAGTCGCAGCCTAATCCCAGAAACATGTTCCACTTTGGCAGGCAACACATTGTGATCGTTTGGCTTTAAAGCCGTGCTCCGTGGCTGTTAAACCTCGCAATGTGAGCCATGGTCATGGCTCGCGAAATAGCCATAGTACTGGTCCGCACCCCAGCTTTGAGTCATAACCATTACTCAGGGCTGACAGAAGGATGTGCCCAACAAAATACATGACGCCACGAGCAATGGATATTCGATGGCACATGAGTCGCAACTATAGGGCCCAATGAATTAGAGTAGGGTTATCAGGATCAAAGAATCATATGTGATAACACTTCTAGGTGCTCTCTTCCTTGGGCAGTTCCTCAAGTCTGCCGATGACATCCGAAACATGTTCCCCTTGGCTGAAGCGAAGGTGGACGAATAGTCCCAGGTCAAGGCTAATCAATGACCAACAGTTTAGAAGCTGGCAACGCCTATTCTGTTGTTGGGCGAACTGGGAAACGCCTTGCGTTTTCTACCAACTCTGGTAAACGCCAAACATGTTGCCAAGATTGGCAAGCATTGACTCGCCAACAGAAGAAGTGACACGACCCCTTTGATGCATCCAGCTCAGATATGCGGCCCAGTTCTCTCCGTCGAATCCGCACGTAAGTTTCGTCCCATGGCTCCTTTGAAGCGGGAGACGCGCCAATGGCTTCTTGCAACCGCTCTGGGCACCAAGATATGCTACAACAACTCAGCCTCAATGTAGGTTCGCGCTCCGATCCAGCCAGCACTTGCCAACGTGTCTCTCTATGATAAACTTCCCCCATCCCGTTTCTTTTTATGCTTGTTGGTGGAACAATGAGGTAGTCAGAAAAGAAACAACCATGGCAAAAACAAAAACACCCGGCCTGAGGTTTTGTCTCCCAATCATGGACCCCAAACGTTTGGCTTCCCAAATCAAACTGAAGAAAGGGGGTTCACAAATCAACAAAAGCACCAACGAATGAATGCCCGAGACACTACCCCGAGAAATCGCCGCCGGACCCAACCTGCAAAACCGAGAGGAAACCATCAACAATCAGATACCTTTTGGGTGGCCAACAAGACCGATGGACAAAGATCAGCCACACAAGGGCGTCCTTACCCATGTAAAGGAAATGTAAACCCCATGTCCAGGCCCATACGTAGCCCACGAACTTCGCATAGGTCTTTGTAGGTCCTGTAACTTGCTCCTTGGTGGGAAAAACCGCGCCTGCGTATACTTCTTGGCATTTTTTCAAGTGAGCCAAGCCCCAACGGAAAGAAGGAGACCATTTGTGGCAGCCTGGTTCAACTGCCGGGGTAGCTTTATGGCCACATCCACGAATGTGACGAAGGCAGCAAACAACAGCGAGACAGCATCCGACATCCTGCCACGAACATATGCTTAGGTGCCTGAACGTACCTTCGTATGAAGAATTTGGCTTTGAGTAGGCAAGCGCGCTGAATCCGACCTTGTCGATGCTACACTCGACGGCCAGTCGCTCGGTGAAAGGGAATAGACAAGCCACGGGACACTTGAAGCCTCGATGGACAAATGCCCAGCCGTGAGCCTTTCATGACTTCATCAGTTAGTTAAACAACCTCACCAAAGGAACTCAACACATGTTGCAAATTATAAGTGATAGAGGGGATACAGCTTCAAGCTTAACAGGGCTTCCATTAGTCTTCCATCTTACCAAAACTAAAGCTCACAAGCTGATTTGCCTCGAACACCCCCCACCTAAGCAATTTGCTTGGCTAGACTAGGCTGCAACCACACAGGCGCCAAAAGGTCAATCTGCCGACTGCCGCGGGGCCTCAAGCATGGCACTGGCTGATGCGATGGCGAAGAAACTCAGCCGAACCAAAACGCCAAGAAGGCAACGTTGACCCCGAACCAATACCAGCCTTGGCTGGCAGCGTCGCCATGCTTCCTGCTTGGTGGGGTTCCTCGCGGCTCAAAGGTTGCCAAGCGTTTCATCCTCCCGGGTCTTGCGGCGGTTCATCCTTCTCCTGGGTCTTGCGGCGGTTCATCCTCATCCTGGGTCTTGCGGCTGAGCAATGCCGACAAAAAGTGTTTTACTTCTTGAACTCCAGCGCGAGCCTCCAGCGCGAGCTGCGGCCGAGCGCGCTTTCAGCGACAGCTGTCACCCCAGCAACTTCGGCCTCGGCGGTCAGATGCTGTCTGTCACAGCTGTCTGTCACAGCTGTCTGTCACAGGCTTTGTCGAGGCTGTCTGTCGAAGGGTTCTGCCACAGCTGTCATGCGGCAAGGGCGGGAAGCTATCGAGGTGCGCAGCTATGCCGCGAAACCCCGTAAAATCAACAACCCAAAACCTCTGGGGCGGGAAAACACCAGCACGATCGATTCCCTAACATCCTTCGTTTCTTCGCAAAACGCCAATTTTGTGCAAAGCGCGGCTCCCCACGCTGATTGCTGAACCAAAGCAAACAACAACTCAACAACATACCATGAGAATAGCGGGAGACGTATTTGGATGCAAAATCCGCGAAGTACATAGGTGATGACATCATTTGGTTGTAGGACACCACCTCCTTTTACGCGCTGTGTAGTTCACCATGTTGCATTAACAATAAGGATTAGCAAGTAGTTTGAACAGCCATGGAGTTGTCTGAAAACAGAACGTCCTGTCTGCAAACTTCGGAGATGGCATCAATGGGATCTAAAGTAGAATCAGGTCAACATAGGTTGGCAAAGTGAGAAGCTATATCGGTGTGGGTCAAAAATATGTACCCAACGTGGAACCTGATAAATGGAGACAAGGGCTAAAATCTTTGGTTTACTCTGACCCATACCCATATCTTCATACTCGTTTTGTTTGTTGAGCTCAAACAAGGGCTGACTAGATGGATGTACCCTACTTGGACCCTCCAATGATTCGTCCCGTTTGGAGATTGATCAAAAATATGAATTGCCCGAGACAACTCCACAGTGAACTCTTCGGGACAAGTTGCAAGTTACTGGGCTCCAATGAAACTGTTTCTTTGCTACAGCTCAATGAAAACATGGCATCCTGTTTGGTCCATATTTTACCTGTCAAAAGAGATCCCAAATCCTAGTTCGGGAGGATGGCAATTGGCCCCTGGCCTCTGTTTGGCCGTCAAATTGAATCACTCATAACCGTCTGCCCATGGCCTGCCTTAGGCAAGACCAGGAGGGCCGGATCAAACGCAGGGTCGCCTTCTCCGCTCAGTAAGCCCATGGAAACGGAATGACCCAGGCACCACTCGATGGCTTCCTTTTCGGGTCGAGCGACGGAACCCTTCTTTTGCTTCAAACCCCGACCATGCCAGTTGGGCGCACTGGGGAGGTGCCCTGACTCTTTTGCTCCCCAAGTTGAGTCTCACTTCTCAGCCTGCAAGGCGACCCCGCCGGAAAAACTTGAAACATGCGCCGGGTTCTGGCGGTCGCCCGAAGCCCCGACATGCCTTGGGGAAGCAACTGGCCGGAAGACCAAGGCAAGTCCCCAAGCAGAGTGGCCTTCACACGAGGAAGCAGACCTCTGGGGCCTTTTCAAGAGGATGGTAGTCTTCCGAAGCCCTGTCTTCCAGGATATTGTTGGGAAGAGGCGGCATGCAAAATAAACACCCACGGCCCATGGTAGAAAATGGATCGGAAGCCTTTCAGGCTTGATCATTTCCGGAGAGCCCGACCAGAAGCGATGAGGGAAAGGGTGCTGAACAAGTTTGCACATGCCAATCAGTACCTGCGACCGGAAAGGACTTCATTGCGCCGGAAAGGACTGAAAGGCTCATCACGCGCATACACATCCATCTGGCAACCAAGCAAGAGAACAAACTGCATGTGTGATGCGGAGGGTCTAAGTGCGGAACTCTACTTGCCCTTCACAGGACACAAAGATTCCTTGCTGCAAATACTGATTGTCTCGCCGCTCAGGGGACTTTGGTTGCAAGCCACAATTAGCTGTTGACCACATCAATACTCACTAAGAGCTTGGAAGGACACGCTGAGGTATCGCTTCAAAGAACCAACTCCTATTGTTCAGCGTCCGAAGGTTTTCCCGACAAAACATGGAACAACTCGATGGGCCCCCAGTGCGCCCTCAACGAACAACGATAAATTCAGCTGTCCAAAGGACCTAAGAACAACAGGCTAACCTTAGGGGCCACTAATCATGGAACAAGGGGAAACTAAAAGGTCAGCTCAGGTCGATTCGATTTGGGGGTGAGACAAGGTACCAGTAAGTCCGTTCGTGGGGCGACGACCAAAAATGGAACAAGGGTACAAAAGGGACCATCTGTTGCCATTAAAAACATCCGCCAAAACTCACGGTTTTCGGTGCATCCACGGGGCTGAGGTCACCTCTTCGGGGCTGGTGTGCTGCCTGGCAAAATCCAAACTTCGAAGCCGATCCACTTTAAACGGATTTAAAGTCATCTAGGGGTTGAACAATATTCCATTTAGGGCCCCAAGATGACAATGGGTAGCTATCCCGTTTGGGGGGTTTCCCAATGATCATCCCATGCAAAGGACCCTTTGATCAACCCCCATCAAGGGTTGGGTGATCTGCCTTTATGCCACCCTGCTGAACTTGAGGATGTCTAGTTCATCCGCCCATGCTGCGTGCTGGGCATTGCGTCAACCGGAAAAAAAAGTGATATGCGCTCCCAAACTGGTCAGGAACTGTCCAAAGGACCAGGACAAACCTGGTAAACTGGTCGTGCATTGATTGCTTCATGCGGAGAAGTCTGGCAACAGGGCCCTTGATGGTTGACGACCCAACGCGCAATTTGGTCAACATCTGGTGATTGATCAATATTCCATCTAGCGGTTGGTCCATGGGTGGCGATTTAAGGTTCTTTTTTTTTTTTTGGGGGGGGGGGGGGTTTGGGGCTCCCATTTAGGGCTGCAGGTCTAGAAATTCGGCTTAGGGTTTACGTTTAAGATTTAGGTCTAGGTTTCGGACTTTGGCTTAAGGGTTTCCCACCTGCTGAGTGGATGGCCCAAACAAAGTCCAAACTTCATATCTACCACTAAACTGGTCTTCCCAAAAAGTTTCAAGTTCATGAACTCAGGAAGTGAGGTTTGGGTTTTGGGTTTCGGGGCCTTGCTTTACTGTTCGGCTTAAGTTTCGCTTTGGCCAGGCCGGGCGGGTTCTGGTTCTGGCCAGGCTGGGCGTCGCTCCGGGCAGCCGCTTGCAAAGGATGGGCATTGGCTGTCTATATGTATATATATATATATACATATATATATATATATATATTGGGCTGCCCGTTTTCCGATCCCCCGCTAACAGTGACTCACTTTTAGTGGGTTGAATGGAAACTACCACTAAACACAAAAAGGCTAAAAAGCTAAGGGGATGGCCGGAAGCCACCAAGCATATATATATATATATATTATGGGTGTTTTTGAGGGTACCTTGTTTTCGGTGGTTTTAAAGGAACACCACGAGGACAACCGATTTGGGGGGTCCAACCTTCAAAACGACAGACCCATATACTGCAGAGTGTTGAGGTCTTTGAAGAATGTCCAGCCAACTTCCTCCCGTTCGCTGGCGAACGAGGAGCTTGGAGCAGAGGTTACCTCGACAGGTCCGAGGCGCGGAAGGACTTGATGGTCAGCACCTTGTCTTTGTCTTTGCTTCCATTCCTCGGAGCTTGTGGACAGAGACCCAGGAACCTGCGGTTGCTTGGAGCAGCCAAGCCTGAAACAGGCACCGGCAATGTTTCAACTGTCTCCGCACATGGCGCTGCTGTTGAACTCTTTGCCACTCGATTCGCCCATGCCAGGGGATGTCCTATTCAAAAGAAGCCGGCCTATTTTCCAGTTGCCACAAGGAAAGCCTTACATCCATCCTGAGCGGAGA